GGGCAAAACCACATCTTGGGGTGCATCAAACACAGCGTAACCAGCCGGTCAAAAGAGGTGATAATCCCGCTGTATTCACCATTGCTGTGGCCTCACCTTGAGAGCTGTGTGTAGTTCTGGGACCCCTAACTTAAGGATGTGAAAGTCCTTGAATGCGTCTAGAGGGGGACAACAAAGCTGGTGGAAAGTCTGGAAGGCATGTCCTGTGAGGAACAGCTGAGGACTCTGGGTTTGTCTAGTTTGGAGAGAAGGAGGCTGAGGGACGACATCATTGCTCTCTGCAGTGTCCTGGGGAGGGCAAATGGGGAGGTAGGTGCTGAGCTCTTCTCCCTGGGATCTGGTGATACGGTGGGTGGGAATGAGTCAAAGCTGTGTCAGGAGGGGTTTTGACTGGACATTAGGAAGCGTTTCTTTACCAAGAGGGTGGTCAAACACCAGAAGAGGCTTCCTAGAGAGGTGGTGGATGCACCCGGCCTGTCAGTGTTTAAAGGCATTTGGACAATGCCTTTAACAACATGCTTTAACCTTCAGTCAGTCCTGAAGTGGTCACACAGTTAGACCAGATGATTGTTGTAGGTCCCTTCAAACTGAAATACGCTATTCTATTCTATTCCCTGTCCACTTACAAAACACACTAAAAAAATATTGAAGTTACTGGGAGAAACTGGAATGGCATTTAATTATCATAGGCACTTCCCTGCAGCAAGCACACTCTGTTGCTGGTACCACAGTGCTTCCTTCATGATTATCCCACCTTCTTGAAGTTGCAGTTTCATGTGCCTCTACTTGCAACACACCAGCTCTAATTCTTAACAGTTAAAAACAGCTGCACTTTTCTCTCATGCATGCAAATAGATGGTAGGTACCTAAACAATGCCATTCTAGACATCTTGAAGCATACTGAGGCATCCATATGGGGCTGGCAGCTGTGGGCCTGGACCTCTGAGAAACCCATGCCCTTTTGGAGCAGCACATACCCCAGGAGCATGTAAAATGACAGCAAACCCCTGTATTCAGGCACCTTAATCTCTCCTCTACTGTTCTGACTTGCATTGTTAGCAATGCAGGTCAGCTTACTGTCTCACTAAGAAAACATTAACTTGCAAAACTAGCAAATTACTGGCAAATTTAAATGTATGCCAGAAGTTATGCCTGTAATAAGGCTGTCTTGCATACTCTGGACAGAACTTCCTAATAATATATGCATACAGTTAATACAAACATGATGCAGCATGCAGAAAAGGAAAGAAAAAAGCCTACATAAGGAGCAATGTTTGTTATTCTCACTTAGAAACAAGAGGCTTTTTGTCTCCCTTTAAATGTTAAAGTCACATTTTACTGTAGAAAAAGCAACTTATTTTCTCTTGGTCAGCTATTCCATTCTGCAATCTTAGCTTTTTAAATACAGAACAGTTCAAAAAGCCATAGAGGTTTCTTAATGCCATTCTTTGTTTCTTTGTATTTAGGATATCGATGTGAAATAGGATTGATGTAGAGTACACGTGAAAGTATTCAAGTTAGGCAAAAGCTGATAGGCTTTAAACTACCCCGTAACACATGAATCACTGGCCTCAGAATAAATACTAATGGCCATGGCTTTGCAAAACAGCACAAAAACACATGTATTAAAGAAGATGACTCTTAATGATGAACATTGCTAATACAGATATGTTAAGGCTACGTTAAATGGAAAAGTGTGCACTGTGCAGGATAAAAAAACCCAGCAACGGCTCCCAATCACTTACCTGTGAAAAACAATGACCTTCACCCTGTTAGGAACTTTACACTTGCCGAGTATTATTAAGGCAGCATTTCTTAAAAATGCAAACTGTAAAATGTCAGAAAGCAGTTCAATAAACAACGGCAAACTTCTCTCAGTACTAGGAATATATATGCACATTTTCATAATCCAAGTAAGAAAGTAGAATAAAATGGGAGAATGCAAACTAATAGATTACAGAATAAAGCCTCATTTTTATTTGGATGTAAATTAAAACCATTGTGATAACTCTGTAGATGACAATCCTCAGATTGTTTTTCCTCCTGAAAACACTAGCTGTCCGTTTCATTTTTAAAAAGACTCAGAAATTGTGTTTACTCCCTGCCCCCTACCCCCCCATCATTAATGCTCTGCTATTAAAATCCATTTGGGTAGTCCAAACAAGTCTTAATTGTCTAATAAAGAAACTATTTCAGCGTTGTGTGAATACTTAACACACTCATGATCAGCAGATATTCAACAGCAACAAGAACGTTAAATATCCTACAACAATTTGTACGCAATATTTAAAGTCGATTCCAACTCTCATAAATTTGCTAGGTACAACAATTTTAAGTACTATCAAATCACTTCTGAGTACTGAAATAAAAACAGAAGCAGCAAATGAACCCATCATGTTCAATAGCTCTATAAGATTAACAGTTCATCTAGAACTTCACAGTAGGGCAGGAAGTTGATGGACTATGTCCAACAGGCTTTAATTTCTAGCAATGCCTCTATACAGGAATCCAAGTGAAACCACACTGCTCACAGAGAGAACACACTTATACACTAGACAGACACGTCAAAGTTTTAAAACGCTTCAAAACAGAACAGCGCACATTTTCAAACTGCTCCTCTAAGGTGAGCACTGAGGGGAAAATCCTTGCTGTGTGTATTTCTCTTTAGTGTATGATGACTGTGGTGTCTGGGATTTTGAGATTTAACATGCAGCGTTGCTGAGTGAAAAAGGGAAACACTGCTTATTAGTAAACTAGTAGCATTACCAAAACACAGGGTATTAAAATGATTACTTGTTCATAAATTATTACTTGGTTTCAGTTGTCTTCTAAGTGCACAGTGTAATATTGAAAGTCAAAGGTAGCTCTGTACTTTTTAAAACCTTGTTTTTCTATTCTTCTTAGATTAACAAGAGTCAGAAGTTACCTAAGATACCCCATTAAAATGAACAGAAAAAACAGAAACAAACTGCAAATTCACTTGTCACCACACAGCGCAAAAATCACAGTCACAGCTTCATATTTAATGTGGAATCACTTTAAGTACACAATACTTCAAAAGATGCAGAAACTGGTTAACAGTTAAAAGCCAGTAGAACAAAAATACAGGAAAATCCAAAACATGTCTTTGACCTTTTTAATCCTAAACTTTAGGGTCACAAGCCTGAGTAGACAAGTTTGCTTTATGAGGAAAGAAACTTTGGTATGGAGTTGAACTAGCCACATGAATAGCAACTATAGCTTTCAAAATAAATAACGGCTAACTAGACAACACGGCAGCAAGATACTCCTCTCAAAAAACGAACAAGCACATGCTTGGAGCTATGCATCAAGCCTGGATAACAGAAAGTAGTGTAATCTTTTTTTTTTTTAAGTAACTTCAAAGTGTTCCTGCTTTCTGTAATCTTTGATGCTGAAATTAGTAAGAGATCTTTCCTACAATGAGAAAGCTTTCTATTTGCTAAGCACTAACAATCACTGCCTTAAAAACTGCACTCTGATGCTTGAAGAACATTGTACTATTTTTTTCAAGTCTTTTAGACTCCTCCTATTTTTCTAAGATACTGTATTTTTATTCCATAGGCCCATGCTGTTAGCAGTAGGTGTTGCAAACAGAAACATCCCCCTACTCCATGAGTTAGTTATTAAAAAGGTCCAAGATAAACTCAACCTCAAAATGGAACAAAAGGGGTTTTTAATGGATGGTACCAGAAATAACAAGTTATCTTTGTAATATGTGATACTCTCCTACAGCCATCGATAAAGTTGTTACTGGAATGTTAGTCTAAGTTAAATCTGTGTTTTATGGGTTTGCAGCAAAGCATAATACACATTGAACAGAATGAATGAAAATTCAGTTTCCAGTGTATGAAGTATTTTAGTCATGTAATAAATTTTAGTTTCTATTTGTGTATTCCACTGTAGTGCTGTGACAACAAATCACACCTGTGTACCAGAGCATACATCAACAGTATGATGTAACTTTACTTACATCACTGCTATATTTAGCTTTTTGAAAGAGACATAAGCATACATTATGGCCACATCAAATAATTTTCTGGGTTTTTTCTTTGATAATCTTCACTGTTTCAGTAATACTTCATTTTTTAAATTTGAATTATTGAAAAAAATCACATAAAGTTTATAGAGAAACAGTTATAAGGAATAACCTCACAGGCACTGATATGACAAACATTTATTTTAAGGGCTGAGAGGCATTAATATCTTATCAACAGAGTTGACTGAAAAAAATGACTAACGTTGTCTAAATGGGAAATGCCCGCTTTTGCTTGTCTGTTGAGAAAGGAAATTCAGAAAGTTATTTTTTGGCCTTGCTATGTCACAAAGTCAATCATATATAAAGACCTATGCATTTAACCTAAAATGATAGTTTCAAAAGCCCTTCTATTAAAAACAAAAACACCATGCAAAACTGATCAATTACGAAACTGCTTTAAAACTGTTGCAAGACCATACTGTATATATTAGCTTTTATACTGCTAATGCACAACTAACAGCAAACTTGATTAGATTAACACAAATTTGTCTTAATTACACTGTTATATCACACTAAGGACACAAATGCCACAAGATTGGCAAAAACACTTAATTCTGAGCACTCAAATGGCAGGATAATTGTGTTGTAACCCCTTCACATTTAGTAAAATCATAATCCTGCAGTCCCACTTTACAAAAAAAAGTTCAGTAAAATAATAATTGGGAGGGGAACAGTTTATACTATCTAACACAAAGTAACTTATACAACTAGTGTCAAAGGCAAACAAAAAACTACAAGAAAAAGTCAAAATACACATAGCAACAGAAGCACAAATGCTGCATTAAATACAGTCAAGATAAGAAGACAATGCACTCGTTAATTCAAAAAAAAGAATAAAGTTACTAAAGTTAGCAACATATTTAAAAAAATGCAGTGAAGGAAAACTATATTTTACTATGAATACAGAGTTTCCATTTGCAGTCTTTCCATCCATAATTTGCCTGGTACAGTACATCCATTAAAATATTCAGACTCTCACAGAAGAGCTACATTGTTCTCTTCCAAATCTAACTCCCGAGTTGGTTTTGGATGTTTTAAACAGACATTATTATGAATGAAGTAAAAGCAAGGCAACAAATGGACTTTATATCACCTTTGATCTTAGCATTGATGACAAGCATTTTTAAAAGTTATCATAATCTTTTTTGTCTTTTTTTCCCTCTGCTTCAAATCCATCAACTCCATCACTGTCCCTTCTCCTTTTACGATTATTATGGATGTTGAAGCGTTGATTCATCTGTGGTAACGGATCCATTCCTAAAACTTTGTGTATTTGACGGAATGCAAGGAGTCTCAGGGCAAACTAGAAAAAGAGTAGAAAGAAGACAAATAAATGTAATTTTTGGGTACTTTGTCAAACAATTAATCAAGAACATTAGCAATGTATGGTATTATCATTATCCCCTCTTCCTTCCACCAACAAAATCAATACAATGAAATGTGTATGCCACATTTGCTGCTTCTGTACGAAGTACATCGTCTTAGCTTAAAAACAATGTAATGTGCTTTAGCTGCTGGATTTGCACTGAAGCAGTCAAGGCTCATCACATGTCCCATTACACATTAGGAATCTTTAGCAAAAGGATCAAATGAAGAGGTAGGGGCAGTAACCTCTTAAGCTGCAAGCATGAATTGTTAATACTATAAGTAGATAAAATAAATATTACAAATTAAACTGACACAGATTTATTAATAAAATATTAAATGCAAATGTAATTTTAATTCTAATAACATACTGCTGTAGAGTGAGCATCGTTATGGATATATACAGATGGCAGTGCTTCAGTCTTTTCAGGAAAACATGTTAATTTTAGTGTGAAAATGAACACAGTTACACATTGTCTATTGTGATATTTTTATTGTCTAGCTTAAGACTGATCATCTGAATGACTAACTATATTCTAAGAAAGGAAAATTCATGTCCATCATATAGCTCCATTTAAAAAAACAAATCAAAATTACAAACCAAAACAAAAAAACAATGCAAAAACTAGCCATCGAATTTAGTTACTTCACATGTATGTTTCCTTACCTGTGCACTTGAAGTAATATCCTCTCGTTGCTGATCTGTCATTACAGCAAGTGTATCAAAAGGATCTTTTTCACAAGGGTCCAGAAGGCCAGGACCACCTACAATGGTTAGGCTAATTAGTAGCACATCTCTACCTTATTTCAACTAAGATTACAGATTTTACATTAGTTAAGCATAAGTATACAGATACTGATCAAATGCAACTCACCTTTAAGGATGATTCCTGAAGATATGCACTCAAAAACTCTTCTCAGTGCATCCCCAGGACTCTGTGGTCCAGTAGCACTGCTAATTGCTTTTTCCACAAGCAGCTCCATAGCCTAGACCAACAATAAGAAAATCCAGTCAATTTAGAAGACAGATTAAAACAGAAAAAAAGCTGCTAGTGTTTTTCAATACAGAACTTTTGAATCTGGAATTTTGAAGAACACTACACATCACAGAACACCTCCAGTTAAAATGAAAAAAAAAATCAGATTGTTTTATAAAGATGAATAAAAAGAAAGCTGGTGCAAGGTTAGCAATGAGTACTGATACTGATATACTGCTTCTCATCACAAGTTGTTAAAAAGTTTTTTAGAAATCTATACAGTAGTAGCCTACATATGCAGGTAGCCAACTCATCCAGCCATTTTTTGAGAGAGTATGAAATATGGTGGGTCACCTGAATCGGTCAGCCACCTGCATAAACAGCACACAGTATATCTAGTGAAATTAACAGGATGCTACAGAAAAATATTCTTTATCTCTACAAGAGTACAGAGACTTAAAGCATCAAAAATGTAATGATCTTTTAATGTTCAAGTGGTTACTACTTCTTCAGTTTAGCAAAACTGAAGTTCATAGCAAGTTTTCTGCTGGATATGGTCTAACACTAACTCAGATGTTAAACAAGTGTAAAAAAACCTTGATGATAAACAGGTTTTCTAAAACTCATACATTATTTTATATTAGTTAAAATGGTTAAAATGATTAGCTGTATTTTAAATAGTTTCTTCTGTGAATATTGCCATTGCTTACTTTTATTGGGCACTACTTTTTTCAAAAAAAACCTGTAAAAGACATTTGCAAAAGAACAGCTTTCCTCAGGTTTTTTCCAGCATTAAAGGGATTTTTCAGTACTACCTCTTTGGCAAGTTTAATTCTTAATGGGTCCCTCTTGTTTTCTGGGGGGCTTTGGGGGGCTTGTTTTTTGGGGGGCTTTTTTAGTCCTCCCCCTCCTCACCAAGTTTACAGATATTCAAATGTTGCCTTTTATTTTTACTTTTCAGGAGTAAATGTCTGCTCTGATGCATGCAAGTAACTACAGGCAGTGTTAATTACAATCCTTCACCATGGGTGCCCATTCCTTTCTACTTTAGCTCCATTTAATTGACAAATTTCAAGTCTTGAGCATGGTATTTCCATAGTCCCACTGTATCACACAGGATTTAGCAACAGTAATTTAGGTGTTTTCAAGTATGAAGCAAAATACAGCAGGAAAGAAAAAAAGCACAAATGTTTTTGCATTTATTCAACTCTAGTTCTTTTGGATCCTCATACAAAACACTAGAGTCTACAACTTAAATCTAGGAAAATGTGAATTATGTTGCCCTGGTGTTTATGTGCACAAAAGGCTTGATCTCAAGTTTGAAAAAAATCAACCTTGAATACTATTTCCTTCTAACTTGTAGGTACGTGACAAAATTTTTCTAATTTAGTTTTTATTTTTAGGCATATAAAGAGGGTGATACTAATGTCCATATTTAGACTTCCTAATATCTTCTATTTTTATAGCTACTTAAGTTATTTTTGAAAGCTCTGGCATCTCTTTGGTTTGTAGCTTTGGTAGGCTTCTTAACATACAAATTTGGAGAAGTTCTGTATCCAGAAAAATATATTTCTTCAATCTATGAAATTCTACCTGTGACTGGCAGAAATTACGTATATTTAAAATCACCATTTTCATTCTGTCATTGTTTTTCTCATTAAGACTTTGCCAACGGGCCAAAAGAACAGCTGACTACACAGACTTCAATGTTGATCCATGTCACTGACAATGCATCAGATACCAGGAGCAAATCGGGAATCGCTTTTGGAGAGAACTGAGAAACAGCTCATAGCTGCTTCATAGCTCTCTTCCCTTATGGATGTGCCTTAGAACAGATGATGGGAGAAATAAAAACCAACATTCCTTGTTCTTCATCTCTGTGCCTGCTGTGTGTTGCAATAGTTCTAAGGCTGCTTTTCTACAAGTATGCCAGGGTTTACTCTTTGGCAACTCAGTGTCATAGTGACATTAAGAGGGCACTTACATACTTCTTTGCTTCTTTTAAGCTATATTGTACAGTGTCTATTTCACAAAATGTAGTACAGAAACTGGCACTATTTTTTTCACTTTAAATATTTAAAAACCAGAAATAGCTGCTCCACATTTTTTCCAGAAGCAATAAATATTATCAGAAGTAATTTTATAAAATTGTCTGCAAGCTTAGTACAGTTGTAAAATATTTCTAATTGAAATAATGCCAACTGCTCAAATTGTCTTGACAACATTAGTGTTCTTCCTGCCAAAACTGAAACGGAAGCAGCACAATGCAACAGGATTTTGTCTGTGAAACAAAACAGTCACAGATAAATTTACTTCCATGGTATATATGTTTCCGAGATTTTGTTTCAGACTAACTTTGTCCGGCCCGCATATTGAACATCCACTAATATTTAGAGCACAAGTTGCACTCCTGGAGAGTATAATTTATGATAGTCAATGCACAAGGAATGCTCCAAGAACACTCAGCTGCAAGAATTAAGACAGATAGCCTGGTACAACCTATAAATTTAAGTGACACTGATTATAAGTTAATGGTGACACATCCACAGACTGTACTCATGTACTGTGGTATTTAATCTTGTGGAAGTGATATATTAATGATCATAGGAGTTACTGTGATTTATCATAAAATCATAGAATCATAAAGGTTGGAAAAGACCTCAAGGATCATCAAGTCCAACCCAACATCACCTAACTCACTAAACCATGTCCCTAAGCACCACATCTACACGTTTCTTGAACACCTCCAGGAATGGTGACTCCACCATCTCCCTGGGTAGCCTGTTCCAATGCCTGATCACTCTTTCAGTGAAGAAATTTTTCCTAATATCTAGCCTAAACCTCCCCTGGTGCAACTTGAGGCCATTTCCTCTCGTCCTTCAAGTCACCTTTCTGTTATCACAGAACCATCTGGGTATAGCTGACATTATTTTAAATTAAGTTTCAGTGAAATCCAAGCATTTCAGAGTAGGTGGTTAGAAAAAATTAGATTATTTTATATAAAGGAATAAAAAACACTAAACTCTAGAACAAGAATGCTGCCCACAAAGAATACAAAAGAACAAGAAAATTCCTTTTGGAAAAAAAAAAATTCCAGCTCCCAATGACAAAACCTCAGATAATTAAGTTTTTAGTGGGAATCTGGACAATTTTTTGAGGGGAAAAAAAAGCGCCAAACAAAAACCTTACATTACTTCTTGAAAAAGTCTACATTTAAAAACTGTAGTAACACTTCCCTATGCTTTACTTGCAGTACCATGTGCATTAAAAAGTCTAATTCAAAAACATTACTCACCCAGCTTGGAAAATCAGACCAAGTTGGAACCCGCTGACAGAGGTCACGAAGAATACGTATGATAATCACACAGGATTGTAGACCATTAGCTCTAGCCTTGAGAGCAATACAAAATCAAATTAATTAACCCCAGCACCCACAGCAAATAGGACTCGTTGAAAGACTAAAACACCACTGTTCAATGGAAGCTCAGATACAGGATTGAAACAAGTCATTCTACAACTTTATTCCATGAGCTGCCATTTACAGCAGTATTTTATACAGGGTTAGTAATTTAAGGTGGTAGAAGTCAAAGTGCACAGGTTATACAAGAATAACATTTCTTGATCCCCTGTACACTATGACCTATGTTCACTTGTAACAATAAACACAGTATATTTCTACATTAGAAATAAAAAAGATACAAGTAAAGATCTAAGAAATAGGTATAGAGACTGAAAGGTCAAGGGAATCTGTTTGGTTTCTTTATTGTGCCTTTGCCAGAATGCAAAGTCACTAAACCAAACAGTTGCTTCTCACCTTTCATTCCCCACACTTAACGCACTTAAAGAAATAGGAAAAAAAATCTTAAATCTAAACACAAAGCTTTAAACACATATCCCACTATTTAAAGCAAAGTTACTCTGCAGCCTTATGGAATATATAACAAATATACAACATATGATTGCCCCAAGCGAGTCAAGCTTTCAACATCGCCTTCTCAATGACCAGAAAAAAAAATGTCAAATGAGCAATAACTGCATAAAGCAGTTCCTCCATACTCAACATTCTACATTTAAATTTAGGGACCAGAAAAATATTAAGTATTATTAGCATGAACAACGCTGAGTGTTTTCACACAATTAAACATTTATATTGCAACTGAACTAATCTCTCATAAGGCTACAAGAAGAAAGTAAAATGATGTTCCGAACCTGGAACCACTTAGCGTGGCGTAGAGCAGCCAGAGCGTCAAGGCATTTTTGCCTGTCCAAGACGTCCGGTGGGTCTTTCACCATACCCGAGGTTACATCTAAAATGGATTGAATTGGCAAAATGCAGTGAGGAATGGGTGTTTGACCAGGTGAGCAAGACACTTCCTTAAAGTAGCTTCAATGTCACACATGCCATTTAAAATTTAAACCCCTGAACAACAAATGTAAATGTTCAATAAAAAAACCATTCAATTAGGATTAGGGCATCAACCCAGTATGAAGATCAAGAGCATATTATACTTCAGCTCTGAGGTTTTTTTCAAATGCACTGCGGATTATGCAATGCGTAGTACTTCTTTATTTAAGCCAACACTGGAGAAACATATATCCCCAAAAATTAAATACTGAAGGAAGGATGGTTGGACACAGTGCACCAGCACAGAGAACACAGGACAGAAGAAACACAAAAATCCACTTTAACCAAGTAGAAACATTCAGACTTAGTTTCTTGTCATTTTAATGGTCACGTATTATTTGAGACCTATTATTTAAAAGAAATACTAAGTATAAGAAATATTAAAAAGCATTTAATGTTTAGTAATGATGTTATGTGTCTCATACCTTAAACTTGAAATTAATTAGTTTGCTTTAAAAACCTGACTAAAGGAATGTGAAATGTTCTTTAATATATACAGGGTTCCATTATTTTCCAGTATCCTTTCTCTTATAAATAAAATGCCTCAGACCATAATATATGTACTCTAATATAATTTAGGATTCAAGGAACGATCTGAAGAGGGATGCTTTACTTAAGATTGAGCAGGAAAAAGAAAAGCAAGGAATAGTTTATAAAACAAAGCAGAATGTCTGAAAGTAAAGAAAACAGTAGATCTTGTATACTTAAATGCTCAGAAAAGTATTTAATTATCAAGCTGACTGCTTTGTTACTAAAAAGGAAGAGGCCACAGGCCCTTTTGGAAGTGGTTTAATCAATGAAACTGGAACCACTGAAGAATGTGAAATTGTATCCTCAGGTTACTTAAAACTTGTGCAGACAGAATGCAGTGATCAGCTTTAAAAGTTCTTTGTTTTACTTATTATGAAAATGGCTATTGTGACTAGTAAAAAAGCACATTGGTAGCGTAACTGGTGATACATCAGGTAAGATGAAACAAAATGCCCTCACTTGGTGGCACTCATTTCACAGGAGCTGGTTGTATGGAACAGTATAGTTTACTCCAGCAAGATATAAATTTAGGTAAGTAAGAGAATACAATTTAAAAAAAAAATGGAGACTCATGAAACGTCTGCAAGGAGAAGCTTTTAGGGATGCTGTAGAGAGACAGCTCTGAAACCACCTATTTTAAAGAAATGTAAAATAAATAGTAGGATACTTTACTATGCAGAGAGCTAAAAAGCCATGAACAAACATGGTGGTACAACTTTGCAATATAATAATTAAATTTAATCTGAAGTACTACATTCAGATTTAAACATTTTTTATAGGATAGTCACATTGCTCTGCACAGGGCTAAAAGGGGGAGGACTTCAAAACAAGAACAAAACTGAGAAGAACACAGGTATCTTCTCACACAAATATTCAAACTTATGGACTATATGTTAAAGTGGAAAGATGAAAATACTCACTAACAAGGCATTTACAGGGCAAATGAAGATATTTGAAGTGGTATTTCCTTTAAAACACAACAAAACAAAACAACCCCCAAACCTATACAAGAGAGGTGTCAGGTAAGGTAACTGATGAAATGTGTATAATCTGGACATAAGAGACAAGAAGTACATCTAGAGAAAACCCAGAGCAGGAAAAACGTGGTAAGGTAAGGTTGAGAAATGAAAATATGGGTTGCTGGGCCCAGTAGCCTAATCAGTCACTTATTTACATTCTTCTAAAACTAATATGCAAATAGGTGACACTGTGCAAACTTTCAGCACAATAATTCACTACATAATTTGAAACCCCAATTACTTCTAGCTCTGAAAAACTTTAATTTGGAAAATACTAAAAATAATTAGTTTAAGTGCACAGAAGAGAATCTTACTCAGAACTGGAAATGTTGATCTAAAATGTGCTACTAATACATATCATACGAATACCCTTGAAACTTAAAAAGACCCTGAAAGTCAAGTTGCCAAGCACCTATTGCACTGAGAATACACTCACTGAAAAAAAATATATCAAAGAAATTCTTGTAATATTTAATCTGTGGATTTTTGCATCTGTTTCACATTTCAGGATTAACCCCTTAAAGACTGTTTAACTAAATTCAGATGCCTAACCTTCCACGCTGTTATGCTAGACAAAAAACTGAATTAATTTACAAAACACAAGCACAAATTCTTACCCTATATAACTTATTACTACACTAAATATAAGGGGTTAATCTTCAGTTAGACGTGCTGTGTCCACACTACCTCGTCATTAAAAGTTAACAGGTATATAATTTCGTTAAGTTTTATTATGGGAAACACATTTTACCCAGTCAACTATTTCAAGACTAGTGTGAACACTGCTTAATTCTAGGAGAGAGACAAAGACAAAAAGGAAAAAAAAACACAAAGTAACAGTAGATGCTAGGACTATGCATCCAAACCCCCTCCTTTGTAAAGCATGGCAGGTGTGACACTGAGCTTTAGAAAACCTTGGTCAAAAATCCTTCCGATGTCTTGGCAGCAACCCCTGACAGGAATCAAGTCCCTCTGCTAGAAGGCTTTGGACCGGGGCTGTTAGCTAAGGATAAAAAAAGACACACGCGTACACATATATGTGTTTACAAGTATGTACACTTTGTTTGCTGAAGGAAAGATTCCACAGCAGGGGTTAGAGCACTTCGAATATATCAGATTCAGTAAACTGTCAAACGCACAATACTGTAAGAAACAGTAGCTATGCGGTTAACAATTTTATTTCACTGTAATTTTTTTTAGCCTTTTATCATGTAATGGCACTATTATACATCAAACATGATTCTACTTCATGTGCAAGTCTCAGTCCCATCTTTACTCAAGCTGGTTCTTCCGGTAAAGCCTTCCTTATCACCTGAACTAGTACCCCAAGCGGGCTAAAAAAAATGAAAACTTTAATCTATTGTAAGACACAGAGCATGAGATGCTGCAGTAAGAAAACCCACAAACACATATTGTTACTCTGCAGCAAATAAGTAGCAGTCTTTGTAGTAAGGCCTTCTTTGCTGCAATAATTTGCAATTCAGTCTTCTATTTCCTCTAGTTTCAAAAGTGAACTTTTCTGCACATCCATTTTACACTGCTCAGTGTCTTGAAGAGAAATCTAACTTGATTTTGCTTGCCTAGAGGCAGCACTGCATTCAGCAGTGAGTAAACTCACAATGATTGTTGTAACTCACGTGTGGGTCAGACAAAAATACAGATTTGTTTCCTTTAGGTGGCATAATTTAAGGGATTGATGGTAGCAATTTGAAATTATTTTTAGTCTGAACCATAGGATTTTTGGCCAGAAACCACTTAATTGAAATTGAGTATTGTGGCAGGAATCAATATCGCACTTTTGCACAGTACATTAAGAAATTAACATGGTGTTTCAGGTTAACTTCATTTAACAGGTAATCTAATTGAATAATAAAATCTTTTAAGTTAAAGAATTCTTTATAGACTTATATATAAAAATATATGTGAAGCTGGATTCAGCAGAGACAAACCAAGAGTCATGTTATGATTAGATTGTTAAAAACCAAGTAAAATTGGTTGGGTGTGACAGTACACATACAAAGCCTTTACAGCATAGCTAGGAATAATATGCACAGCTTAAAAAACATGTACAAGGCACTCTTAAAGACTCTTCAGAAGTCATCCAAACCGGAGAATACATCTTGAAAGTTTTCTTTCTGATTACGTAGGACGACTTTGTCAACAGTTTGCCTACAATGCACTAGTCACAGCTACAGGATGTTTACCAATGCAATATAAAAACCTCAAGTATTTTAGAGGACACATAATGACAAGATAAAATAAAAAAACCTCCATGGCTTATATAAATACGTATATACACAAGCACATGTATACATACACACATACAATTTTTTTCAACCTGCGTATGAGAAGTGTTAAGATAGCCTCAGATTTCCTATTTGTAGGTTCACTGTCAAACACCAGAACCCTGTTTGCCATGATCTCTTTCAACTATGAAAATACAGGATTAAAAGGAAACAAAAGTTAATTTTATCTGACCCGTAAACAAAAAGAACCAATGTACTGCAGACATTAATCATGCTTGTTGGCTTAAAAGCTTTTGGAGCTTTGAAAGTGTTACAGAACAGACCCTAAGGCAACACTGCTGGCACCAGAGAAACCATGGACTTCAGAAATATAAATTGATTTACAAGCTCCACCTTCTGCTTCAGCTCAACAACAAAGTAATTTCTTATTGTTCTAGTCTGGGTGTGCCAGTTGGGAAGAATTCTGATTGTAATACCAGGAGCCTAAATATACTTAAAAAGCGCTCCAGACCAAAAAGCAACCTCAGAGAGCTGGAAAAAATCGCATTGTCTTTTAAAGTTAGAAGCACTATTACCATCAAAAGTCTTATAAAAGTGCATTTTAAGTGGTGCTGCTATTTGGAATGTCTAAGTGATGGTAATACTGATCCAGTTTAAACCCAAAAACCTGCGATTTGATTTTCTAAAATCATACAATCTTTCTCTTAGGGCAAGGCTGCTCTAGAAAGCCAGTTTATAACCACTTGCTATAAAAACACATAGTTTTCCACATTATTTAAAAAAAGGGAGAAAAGTAGTCAAGTTTGTACCTTTTCCAGAAAGCTGAGGTTGGACATAAAGTTAGAAATTTTAAAAACTAAATAAACACATCACATGAGCATTTATTTTAGCCAACTCTTCTCTACCGAGACTGGTAGTTGACAAAAAAGGTTTTGATCAAATACATGTGCCAGCATGTTGCCTTCCAGGACGTTAATGCCATCTTAAGCAGAATAGATAAACATAAAAAAATGGGTGAGAAAGAAGTAACATCTTTAACAACTTCCCAACCTCCATCCCTCATGTTCTCCTCCCGAATGACTGGAGATGTCAGTGTGATAGTAACTTGCATTTTGGGTTCCACACACGAGTTTAAAATTATTGCTGCTTCTGGGACTGCACACTTGATATCATATTTCTCAGGACTTATTACCTAAATATTGAGAACAGAAATTTCCATTAGCATGCAGCCAACAAAAGTATGGGGAAAAAAATTGATTTCACCATAAGTCTTTTTAGCAGAAAGACTAGAAATGCAGTATAATTATATGAAGCACATACCTCTGTATCCAAAGAAACCACAGTATACACAATTAAGACATATATACTTGTATATATAAGGACTTGCATACTCTTCCTGAATTATTAACGAAAATACACAGCAGTCACCAAGCATGCAAAAGAAAAAAACCTACCTATAAAGGAAATTCATATACAAGTAAGCTACACAATAAGAATCCTGACAGTGTTTGAGATAAAGAAAAGCCTCATTGCCACTTAAATGTCAGCTGGGTATGTTTGATGCAGTGGTTGTTCTTCCAGCTTGCAGTTACAGGACGGGTACACTGCTAGGTACATTCTATACTTGGCTGTCACAATATGATAAGAACAAAGGGCAAGATAAACACCAGGGAAAAAAATGTAAGGGTTACGAACAAGGTAGTTATTCTGAATTGCTTCCTGCAACTGGATTTAATAATTCTAAATACCCCCCAAAAAGAAACTGTAGGCACCTCTGTCACCTTCTTCCACAAACTAGAGGTACAAGTGACTTCACAAATCCAGACAAAGATGTGCAGTTTTGAATTTTCTTCTGTTCTTTCAAACAAGAGCAAACTCAAGATTATTTTCCAATTAATTTCCAATTAATCAGATCCTGATTCTGCCAAACATTTTACCAGACTGTACTGATATACTAACGCTCTGACAAGCATTCTGTAACGAACAGGCATTGTTCAGCAGAAAGCAGAGACTATTCTATACTTCTTGTGGAAATATAGCAAATGGTTTATACAAATTCCGCTGAATGGTCTAAGACTGCATGTACTTTTTTTTTAAAAAGGGCCAAATTAAAAAAACAAACAAACCACAAGACTGACTTAGTTAACTAATTGTGGAACCACAAAGCACTGACACATGCAAATTGGAAATGAGATGTTAAGTACAAACAGACTGGCATTAATTGAGAACTTTGACCTTCAGGCACCAAGCTTCCTGTAACACGGCACAAATTACCTCTGTTGCTGCTGGTAACTCTATAATAGTCTTCTGCTTATTTCTGTTTTCCAATTAAAGGAAAACTATTAAATGATGATTGATACTATACCGGTAGCATAAACACCTAGACACTTGTAAGGACACAATATACAGAAAGCAAAACATGCAGCATATTCCCTGAATTCAGATGGAAACACTCAGAAAATGGAAAGAAATTGAACCTGAGCTATGAAAAACGGCACAGTGAACCCTGCAGACATTTGACCTGAGGTCAGTTTTTTACAGTATCTTTACAAAACTTCAAATCCAAATATCCAAATTCTACTTACTGCAAGTTGCTTCGGAAGGCTTTCAGCGATACGACTGAGTAAAGTCTTTGAAGGCTTCTCAGCACATAACAAAACAAGATGGACATTTCTGTCTCCACGGAGTAGCAAACCTTTAGCCAAAACGCCTACCCGTAGAACTCCTTTCAAAGCTCTGTCAATTACAGTTAAAAGTTGCATTTAAAATAATATAAAAAACTCAAAACTAATCCTGAAGATAGAAAAGTAAAATAAAATAGGAGTATTCCACACATTCTTGGGGCCATAGTGGCATACACTATATCAAAACCCAAAGAAAAGAGAATCCCTGGAAGCACAGATAACAGCGTAAGGCAAAACCTCAGAAACAAATGATGAAATTCTTAAGAAGTAATTAAAAAATACCTGTCTTTACTGCCATCTTTTTTGTCATCTCCCTCTTTGTTCTTGCTTTTTTCATGATCAGTCATGTTGTCAGAAACAAGTTTCAAAGCACGCTCAGTAATAGAAACAATTTTTTGGACTGCCTGAAGTTCCTCCTCTGTTGGATATATAGTGGCATGTTTGGTCATCACATAGCGGTCATCAGAGGAGTCAGGGCGGCGTAGAGGCTAAACAGATGAAGAAGCATATTTCTGAAATTTGAGTACACTTTGAAGTTCACAAATGGTAAGTGACCAAAAACCAAACATGTGGCTGAACAATAGAACATTCAAATCTCTAAATTGCTTAAATGTAACAAAACATGAGGTGTCTTTAACAACTTACACTGGTCACAATCAATCATGTCTGAAAAAATATTAAATGTATCAAAATCAAACAAATTATGACATCCTAGGATCAACAATATCTCCTCAACACAAATATCTATTGTCTTTCTGTCAAGTGGGAAACACTTGCATACTGCTGCAAAATAAAAGTGTCCATGACTGCTTTCATAGAATCACAGAATTCAAATAGGAAGGGACCTCAGGAAGTCCTCCAGTCCAACCTCCTATGTAAACCATGATCAGCTATAGGACCACACCATGTTGCTCAGAGCTTTATCCAGTCAGTTCTTGAAAACTGCACAAGATGGAGGCTGCACAACATCTGTGTGAAAAAAATTATTTCCTGTATTCAGTCTGAACCTCTTTTGTCTCAGCTTAAGCTGGTTGTTCCTTGCCCTCTCATGACTGGAAAGAGCCTGGCTCTATTGTCTTTATAATGCACAGGTACTAGAGAAGGCTTACATCTCACTGAAGCTCTCCTCCAGGCTGAACAGGCCCAGATCCCTCAGTGTCTCCTCACAGGGCATGCATTCCAGACCCCTGACCACCCTGGTAACCTCATACTGAACCTGCTATGGTTTATAGTATCTTTCTTGTATCCTAAAGCCCCCAGCTGAATGTAGCATTGCAGTTTGGGTCTAACGACAGCTGATCACATCCCTTCATCTAGTGATTATGCTCCTGTTAATATAACCCAGGATGCTGTTGGCCTTCATTGCTCCCAGGGCACACTGTTGACTCATGTTCAGCTTGCTGTCTTCCAAGATCCCCAGACCCCTTTCAGCAGGGCTGCTACCCAGCCTGTCACTCCCCAGCCTGTATCAGTGCAAGGGGTTATTACTTCACAAACACAGCATTAGGCATTTGTCCTTGCAGAACTCCATAAATTTCCTGTTGGTCCACTCCTCCAATCTGCCTAGGTCCCTCTGGATGGCAGTCCTGCCCTAAAATGTATCAACTATTCTCCTCACCCCAGACTGATTCAGTTTCATGCCAGCAACAAATCTGACGAGTGTGCACTCACTCCATTACCTTTCACATCGATAAGGTGCTAATGAGACAGATCCCAGAATAAACTCATGGTACCGCACTTGTTGCTGACCTTCAGGTAGAGTAAGACCCACCACTAACCATATCCTCTGGGACTGATAATCCAACCACTTTTTCTCCATACATTTGTCCACAATTAGATGAATAATGTGTAATGCAATCAAATAAAATAAAAAATAGTACATAAATCCAGAGTGACTTGCATTTCAGAAGAAACAATATTTGTGTTCAAAGCATCCTTTTGTCATTTCAGTGGACTTATTTTGGAATACAAGTCCACCTACACAGTTCCATTAGCACATAATTTCTTCTTTTTTTCAGACTTTTCCAAATCGTCTATTAAGAAATATGGGAGACAACTGAAATAGCACTGAATAATTTATAGATCTAAACTTCCTGGTAAGTACGATTTCATTTTTTTTCTCAAGTTAAGAAACTCACAGCTGGTCCTTGGGGCAAAAAAATTCCTGGTCTAACTCCCAGCAGGCCTAGAGGTCCTGGAGGACCATGAGGATATCCTCCATCTGGTATTCTGCGACGGTCATCCCAGTGATGCTGTTCTTCCTCCATTCTCCTCCAGTACATGTCCTCTTCATATCGCCTAACGTATATCAATCAAAGTGTTCTCTTTATACAGCAGTTAATGCTTGCAACCATTCTAAATAAATTCTTGTATGTTGCCATTAACTCATTACTAGTAGTCATAAGCAAATACAAGTGAACTCCAGAGGGTGCCTAAAATGAATGGTTATTTTGAAAGTGGGTTTGAATTTATAGCAAAGTAATTCTAACAAATCTGCATTTCTCAGAGGAATTTAACACTAACAAACAAAAACCCCAGACCAATAATGACAAGTTAATTTAAAACAAGACAATACAGAGTTGCCAAAAGAAGAATTCAAATAAGTAATTACAGAAGCAGAGTTAGTTTTAGATAATCTCACTGCACCTTTGTCTGATTCATTGATGAAACAGAATGCATTACCTCATTTCCATCCTCCATCGTTCTTCCTCTTCTCGCCTTCTCCAGTATTCTTCTTTCTGCATCTGTTTCCTCATCTTCTCTTCCTGAATTTTTCTTGCCCGAATACTGGGCTTTACTTCTACTTGTAAGTCTGGGTTTACTTTTTTCTAGTTCAGAAAAATAAAGAATTAAATGTTGTTTTTCCTCTTCTCATCTCAAGGTCACAGAGTTCTTCTGACATATTTAACACACACTACTGGTCTACAATAAAATCAAGGGAACTAAAATGCAGTTTTAGAACTGCATTGAATGAGTAGCTGAAGAAGAAAAATCTGTGTCCAGTAGTTTAAAGAAATAGCAACATTTTACAAGTAGCATGAATTCCCTCTTCACTTATATGAGAACAAAGTAATTTAAGATTAAAATGTCACATAAAATCCTAAGTAATTTCCTGTTCAGTCTGCAGCAGGATGACTATAGCCTGAAGAAAACATATCTTAACTACAGTGTGCTTCCTGATGCTGTGTTCCTGAAGGGTGCCTCATACAGGAGCATAATCATGAGTTACTGAATAAAATTTTCTGGCAATTTTTTCTCTTCTTTCATATTTTTAATGATTATGCAGGTCCATTGTATCTCCTGTGACCACAGAGGATTCTTCTGGCATAGTCTTATAATAATCAAAATACACACCATATGTCAGTACAGGTGTCTCTCCATTCATGACCAAAAAAATCTGTAACACTTGTTTCTCTTTTTCTTGACAAAAATATTGAGCACCACTATTTTATGTTATTTTAAATTCATGGTAAACACCATAAAGAACCTACTGTTGCTTGCATACGTTGTACCACATTTTAATGTTGCAAAGGTTGCCTGAAAGCTATGTTCAAAATGTTTAAAAATTCCCAAACCAAAGCATTTCACAGACTGCATTACTTCTTTAAAGACTATACTCCCTAAGAAATATATTTCTCTACATATTTTTAAATGCTGTTTACTTAGAATACCTACTTTTGTCTAGTCCTTAAATGTAAAAACATGTAATCAGTCAGCTAACATCTGATGGATTTTCAGATAGAAGCATTAGCGTTTCTACCAACCTTATACTGGAGTCTGTGCCGCCTCCCTTTCAAATGCATCTCCTTGGCATTAGGATCATTAAAACTGCATTCACAAAGTTTACAGTGAAAGCGGATCACCTTTCCTTCATCATTTCTTACCTGCAAAATAAAGAGACAACACATTTGGCTTTTTACAAAACAAACAAGAAAGCAAACAAAGCTGATGTAAAAATTAATCTAATTCAATGACACTGGATAGTGACTGTCTCAAAACATGCTAAAAAGTTCACACAATAACTGAAAGCAGTCAAAGGAGAACTTTGAATTCTGACAGACACGCCACTGTGTTTGGTAATGAACAAAGAACAAAGAGTACATAGCTTTAAACTCAAGCCTGAACATAGATGAGTCGAATAAACTCAAACCTGCAAATAATTAAAAATTATCTAATGATTAATCCACATATCTCATGCCACCCACATGAAGAGTGCCCCACTGAGCATAAAAGAAACACGCACAGTACAAAAATGTAAACATATGCACAAGCCTTTGCAGCTTCAATGTCTTGTCACTCTTATCTTCAAGGAGGACCCAGGGAATTACAGGTCAATCAACCTCATCTCCATCTCTTGGAATGTGATGGAGCAGCTAATCCTGCAAACCATTTCCAGGCACATTAAGGGCAAGAAAATAATCAGCAGTCGTCAGCATGGCTTCACCAAGGGGAAGTCACACTTGGTCAACTTGATAAACTTCTGTGATGAAATGACCAGCCTGGTAGGTGAGGCAAGAGCAATCAATATTGTCTACCTGGACTTCAGCAAGGCCTTTGACACAGATTCACCATAACATCCTCATACACAAGCTGTTGACATACGGCTGGATGAACTTACAGTGAAGCATATTGAAAACCGGCTGAATCGCCAGCCTCAGAGGGTGTCAATCAGTAGGATGAAGCCTAGTTGGAGGCTAGTAATGAGCAGTGTATCCCAAAGGTCAATACTGGGTCCAGTTATGTTTAACATCTTTGTTAATGATCTGGATGTTGGGGTAGAGTGTACCCTCAGCAAGTTTGCTCATGACATAGAACTGGGAGGAGCAGCAGATACACCAAAGGGTTGCACTAACATCCAGAGCGGAGAGAGTTTGATGGTCTGGAGAAATGGGCTGACAGGAATCTAATGAAGTTCAACAAGGGGAAGTGCAAAGTTCTGTACCCAGGAAGGAACAACCCCTTGCACCAGTATACACTGGGGGTCACCCAGCTGGAAAGCAGCTTGCCAGAAAAGGACCTGGTAGTCCCAGTGGACACCAAGTTGAATATGAGCCAGCAATGTGGCATTGCAGCAGAGAAGGCAATATGGCATCCTGGGCTATGTTAGGCAAAGTATTGCCAGCAGGTCAAGGGAGGTGATCCTTCTCCTCTTACTCAGTGCTGGTGAGGCAAAATCTGAAGTCCTGTGTCCAGTTCTGGGCTGCTCCATACAAGAGAGATATTGGCATGCCGGAGAGAGTCCAACAAAAGGCCACAAAGATGATTAAGGGACTACAGCATCTCACCTATGAGGAAAGGCTGAGAGAGCTGGGACTCTCTAGCCTAGAGAAGAGAAGGCTGTGGGGGGATCTTCTTAATGTATATAAATACCTGAAGGAAGGGTGCAAAGAGGACAGAGGTAGGCTCTTTTCAGTGGTGCCCAGTGACAGGACCAGAGGCAATGGGCAAAAACCAAAACAGGAGGTTCCCTCTGAACATCGGGAAACTCTTTTTTAATGTGACGGTGACTGAGTTCTGGCACAGGTCGCCTAGGGAAGTTGTGGAGTCTCCATTCTTGGAGATATTCAAAAGCTGTCTGGACATGGTCCTGGGCAATGGCTCAAGGTGGCCCTGCTTGAGCAGGCCAGGGTTGAACCATATGACTTCCAGAGGTCACTGCCAACCTCAACCACTCTGTGATTCTGTTTCACATTGGACAAATTTTCACTAAAATAGATAAAAAATAATACACATTTTTATATCAATACCTCCTCCACATAGTCATGGCCCACTGGCTGGACATCACTTTGCAAGGCAGCAAGAGCTGTGGGAGTCACTGGTTCAGCTGCTGTGTCTGGTTTTACTTCCTGTGTTTGTACTGTAGCAGCAGGAGTTGCTTTAACACTTTCAGCTGATTTCATTTCTTCCACTTTACTTCCTGTTGTCTGAAGCTTATTGCCACCTACAAATCAAAAAAGTTAAATCGTTAACTTTCAAAAAAGTTAAATCGTTAACTTTCATAAAACGAGAATGTGATTACACATGATGTGAAAACTGAAGACTTTATTTGCAAATATCAATGTTCTGGCCAAAGCATTATCAGTCTTCTAAAATCAGTTAAAACTGAAACATATTTTAAATACAATTAAAGATTTTTAAAAATAAGTTTAACAACTTTCAAATTATTTAAACAGTTAGGGTTTTTTTAAGAAAGAAAAGCTCCTGCTTTATATAATTGCTGAATAGGACTGAATAGGAACAACTCAGCAAATATACTTCAATAATCTAATTTTTGGCATCAGACTTTTTTTTTTTTAAATGGATCCAAAAAAGTATCTAAGAACTTTATAATGTTTGTACTAGCAAAGGTAGTATACTCTCAGTGTTGCAACTGTATAGGTCTTTCCTTCAAGTGCAGGATAGCTTACTGTGCAACAGCTGCTCCCCTTCTCTAAATGTCTGTCATGTTCATTTCAAAAGTTTCCAATGTTAGATTTCCACTGTTGCCCAGTTATCAACTGCCAACCTAGTGCAGGTCCAGTAGGCTGTGAACTGAAATTAGGACCAACTGGACGATAAACTGCAATACTCCAGCAGCTACTATCTAAGAAACCAAAGGTGCGAGGCTTCTTATGAAGGTCGAAAAAGCCTCCAAGAAAGGTCAGATGGAGACAACTGGGCAGAAAACACCATAAATTTTGAAGCAAAACTTTTATATACATTCTTATTTTCACCTATCAGTAATTCTCTTAAATACAACAGACCTATTAATGCATAAAGTTAAATAAATACAGTTGTATTTGCTGCATGAAGTCTTAAAAAAATTATAGAATAGGTTAGGTTTCAAAATAAAGACTGACTTCTGTACTTGCCAACAAAGTTTATTTTCGGTGTAGATATTTTCTTTACAGCTATATTAGCAGCAGTTGAAGATGTTTTGTTGTTGGACGCAGTGTTAAGTGGTGTGTTTGCTGTGGGAGTAAGAACTTTCACTGCAGAGGATGCAACAGAAGAGTTCACAGTACTGCTGCTGGTTGCTATATTTGAAGCAGAGGCAGTTGGTTTGGAAGCAGATGTGGATGTTGAGGAAGTAGCTTGGGTAACCACATTTGGTTCAGTTGAAGGAATGGGTTTGCCAAGTTTTGTGTGCAACTTTACTACCTGTAAGAATGAAAAGAAATTCATACGCTCTCCCTGGGATAACCATAAAAAATGATGTAACACAAACATCAATATAACTAAAAAAACCCAATATAACTAAAAAGTTAGCTATTGCTTCTTTGTAAAAAATGTTTTTGGGAACAAAAAAAAGATGGATGCATAAAAGCTCTTGTCATCTGTAACAAGGAAATAGTTAATAGTTATCTCACATTGATTATTTCTACTAGAAATTCAGACATTTACCTCAAAAGCTTTGTAGATGAGAACAGAAAGCCAATAAACCCACAAGCCAGTACAACTCAAGGAAACATTTTGCCCCAGCTGTTTCAGTGTGACTGTTTTGTTGCCCCGTTGCTTTTCACTCCTCCTCCAAAAGTGCAGTACATTGAAATATTTTGGTTCCAAATAATATTTGTAAATATGAGTTATTTAATTCAGACTCAACAACACTGTCTCTTTTGATCACTGTATTTTAAGAGTATTCATATTGAATGAATTTGAAGGTTACCTAGCAAAACTGAACAGATTCCTTAGGCAAAGGTGTTTTGTTTTTTTTTTTTTTTTAAAAAAAAAGCACATCTGCAGAGACAGTTAAGGAATATGTGAGGAGCATTTTTCAGAGCTCTTTAGTATCTCATAGAACGTTAACAGGTACATGCTTATTCTTAGAAGTAATAGGCAGAGGCCTTCCCACAACATGCTTGAGATAGAATAATAATTTTTTGTGACAGTTGACCATCACCTGAAAAAGCAATGCACGTAGTCCGTAAGAACAAAACACGCAAAATCAAAACTAAAGACCCATGTACACGATCACGATATGCACACAACTGTATACATACACTTCTTAGGTTTTTGTCCTTATTTTTAAAAATATGTTCCCCATCAGAATACAGACCTACTAATGTAACACAATACTATAAACTTAAGTTTAAGCAACTCTTCAAAATTACTTTTTCTCCAGTAGAATGCACAAGATTCTTCAGTGTACCACAGCAATAAAGAGTCCTTTGAGATTTTACTTCTACACTGATGACAACCTAAAACAGCAGTGGTTAGTGACCACCTATGAGGAAGAGAAAGCTACATCCAAATATATAAGGACAATATAGACTATACTCCATAGACCTATAGAGTTATTGGTAACAACCAAAAAATGTAATGGCTCAACTTATCAACAAAGAAAGAACACTAGGCAAGTCTAGCTAAATTATAGTTTTTGCTCTTGTGGGAAAACTGTTTTAAATGTACTATGAGTTTTATTTATTGTAATAGGAACAATTTTACTTATTACACTTTGTACAGTGTTCTCAAATGCAAAGAGCTATAAAAGCTGAATATTAATACTACATTCACTACTGACATCAATCTTTCCAGAGTGATGAGGAAAATCTGTAATATCTAAACACACATTCTACACTCCCACTGCATTGACTATTGTACGGCCAACTCTTAAACAGAAGTCACAGTTCTGTTCACAGTTCCGGGTTCACAGTGCAGACCAGAGTCTTTACTCCAGAATGCCTACCTAACTGCACTCAAACACTAGAGAAAACATGATTACCAAAAGTCTTCCAAATATACTGATTATAAAGCCTACTACAGGACATTTTTCCTTGCTCCCATATGCCAATATTATTTGCAAGAAATCGCAGAATAGTTTGAGTCAGAAGGGACATTAAGGATCATCTAGTTGCAACCACACTGCCATGGGCAGGACACCTTCCACTAGACCGGGCTGCCCAAAGCCTTGTCCAACCTGGCCTTGAACACCTCCAGGGGCACCCACAACTTCTCTGGGCAATCTCTTCCAGTACCTCACCACTCTAATAGCGAAGAATCAATTTTCTTCCTTATATCTAATCTAAAACTACCCTCTTTCAGCTTAAAATGGTTACTCCTCATCCTATCACTATATGCCCTTGTAAAAAGTCCCTCTCCAGCTTTCTTGCAGGTCCCCTTCAGATACTGGAAGGCTGCTATAAGGTCTCTCCAGAACCTTCTCTTTTCCAGGCTGAATAACCCCAACTCTCTCAGCCTGTCCTCAGATGGGAAGTGCTCCAGCCTTCTGATCATCTTCATGGCCCTTCTCTGGAGCTGCTCCAGCAGGTTCATGTCTTTCCTGTGCTGAGTACTCCAGAGGTGGATAGAGAACTCCAGGTGGGGTCTCAATAGAGCAGAGTAGAGGGAGAGAATCAGTTCCCTTGACCTGCTGGTCACACTTCTTTTGATGCAGCCCAGGAAACAGTTGACTTTCTGGGCTGCAAGTGCACATCGCCTGGTCATGGTCAGCTTCTCATCAGCCAACATTTCTAAGTCCTTCTCTTCAGACCTGCTCTCAGTCCACCCTCCAGCGTGTTGACCACACCACACAGCTTGGTGTCGTCGGCAAACTTGCTGAGGGTGCACTCCATCCCGCTGTCCATGTCTCCAACAAAGATGTTAAACAACACCGGTCCCAATATCAAACCCCGAGGAAAACCACTTGTCACTAGTCTCGCACTTGGACATCAAGCTGTTGACCACGGTTCTTTGAGTGTGACCATCTAGCCAATTCCTTATCCACCAAGTGGTTCATCCGTCAAATTAGTGTCTCCCCAGTTTAGAGACAAGGATGTTGTGCAGGACATTGTCAAATGCTTTGCACAAGTCCACGTAGATGATGTCAGTTGCTCTTCCCTTATCCTTCAACGCTGCAACCCACTGTAGAAGGCCACCAAGTTTGTCAAGTATGATTTGCCGTTAATGAAGCCATGCTGGCTGTTACCAGTCACCTTCATCCACCAGTTCTGTCAGGACCTTTGGATGCATCTCATCAGGTTCCATGGGCTTGTACACCTTCAGGTTCCTTAGATGGTCTCCAACCTGACCTTCTCCTACAGTGGGGGGTTCCCC